AGTATTAGGGGAGAAAGGAAAAACGACGATCCTTGAACTCCGTACGATGCCCCTTTTGCTTTTCTAGCGAGAAAGGAAGACCAGTTTGCCCTCTAGAGACCTGCTGCCGAGCTTTAGCTACAGAGCCCAGGCAGCAGCATTCCACTAAAACTGTCTGGCTCGGCGTACTACAGCGCAATACATCATACTGTACATTATATTGTATTACTTATATTTTATGTGATTGAATCATATATAGCCCTTAATCCTTGACACAACGAAAAGGGATTATGGCCAGTGACATATAGAATGAATATGTTCTGTCCATACTTGTACGGATAATAAATCCGCTTTTTCATAGTTATTCCACAAAAACTTGAGCGGATACTTGCCTTAGATAAAAAAAGATTTAGGGAGACATTCCTTCATTTAGGCGCAAATTTATAAATTTACAAAGCATACTGTGCTCAATTAGCATAAATCTATCTAAAAACAATTAAGTTATATAAAAATGGAAAAAAACTGCTGCCATTGAGTGCTTGAAGTAGTTTTTGAGCGTTAGAACCTAGCGATATCCCAAAATAGTTTTGCGTTGAATTAGCACACTGCCAATCTCATACTCCTGTGCGCCTTTTGGAACAATGAGAGCAGTAGAGTTAAGAAGTTTGGCTCTCTTAACAGCAACAGCATTCCCATTTTGTGGCTGTTCGGCGGTATTCTGCAGCTTATCAGGTATTCAAATTAAAAAAAAACATATTAGTTTTGAGAACCTACTGGCACAATTGCAGATATAAATATGAATAGGAGGGCAACGGCAGGGGCAAGAGCTGCGGCTCTGGTTGGGTTTGGGACAGCAGCAGCAGCAGTTGTTGCTCTGTTGATGTGAATGGTAAGCCCCAGATGGGAAGGCGAACAAGACTGCCAGCAATGTGATAATTCTTGTCGTCTGCATGATACCAATAAATCTAAAAAATTGATATTTATAAGAAAGAACTGAAATATAAGGAAGTGCGAAAATTAACTTACAGGAAGCAATTACGGATCTTGGAACGGACGCTACGCCTCGATACAAACCCTACTTATCAGTTTTTATAAGCGCCTGTGGTAAGTTTGCTTGTGTACTAGAAGCGAGAGGTAGAGTACACGTGAAGTGCTTCCTGGATTGGTCTCGTGTAAGCGGAGTCCTATGATCTAGTTTAGCCAAATTTACTTAATATAGAGTGGACAAGGCTAGTAATAATCAATCTTTCATCGTTTTCTAACTTTAGGGAACACACCAACAGGTAGATGTCAATGCTCCTTAGTTATAGTGATTATATTAACAGACTGTCATGATTACTATTTTTGCAGCCTGTAGAAGTTTTTCTCATAATTTTAGGTCGTTAACATACCATATATTTCGCATCTGCATTCATAAAGAGCTTGTTAATATGTTCACCCATTGAGGGCTCCTCAGAATTTCAGGTTTCACTCTAACTTCATACATGTTAGTCGTAGTTTAGTAGTAGATGGTGCTTTTCTGACCATCGCTCTATTTGAATAAATAAACTCATTTTTTCAGCAAAATACTCTTCGCTCGAATGTTGAGTTCGTCGGAGTTTCTCTAGAAGATAATATTTGGTTTGCATCGTAAAGTTTGATGATAGTCTTTACATCAGCATTAGGAATATAAGTTAAACTTAATAAGTTCTTCCCAACGCTGCGGTTGGATAAGGCTGTTCTTTTGTTGTCAACATGATTCTAACCTTACTATATTCAGACAAGGTGCAGATATTTAGCTAGCCTGAATAAGGTAAGTAGAAATCCCAGCTTGTTTTGCAGCGGAAATGCTGCAGACCATTCTCTGGCGAAAAGTCACGAGTTAATGGAAATTGCGCTAAAAGCAACAATATTCCATAATAGTTCGAGCTAAAG